GATGAAAAGGGTAAGGGAATTAGAGTTGAGACTACAGATGATGTTGCAGCTGTAGTTGAGAATAATTTTGATGGTATCGATTGTATATTGTCTGTCACTAAGGATTCGTCATTTGATGGATGGATTATGGATTTTGGTTATTCGTTTCACGCTACATCAAATAAGAATTGGTTTATCACTTATTAGTGCACGGGTGGTGGTAAAGTACAGTTAGGGAACAATGGTGAATGCGATATTGTAGGTGTTGGTGATGTTAAAATCAAAATGCATGATGGTATTGTGAGTACATTGACTGGAGTAAGACACGTTCTAGAATTGAAAAAGAACTTAATTTCCTTGGGTGCCCTAGATTCAGCTACCTGCAGATATTCTTCATAATGTGGAGTTCTGAAGGTTGTTCGAGGTGCAATGGTGATAATGAGAGGAATCAAGCACAGTGGCCTGTATGAACTTCAAGGTGAGACAGTGATAGGTTTCGCCCCAGAAACGTTGGATGCATATGTTCGATAGTCTCTGCTCAAGAAAAACCTGGGTATTTGTGCCGATGTACAAGTTTGATGCTGATGTCAGGAACACGTGGTCGAGAGATTTGATTGAGGTGGAGACAAGTAAGTCGTTCAAGCATGTGCGAACTGACAGTAGCATGGAGTTCTGCTCGGAGCTGGTAAATAAATTCTGCATGAAGGAGGGCATAGTGAAACATCGCACTGATGCCAGGAAACCACAACAGTTTGCAGAATTGATGAACAGAAAATTACTAAAGACAGCCTGTAAAATGATCTCTAGCACTGGTTTGGCTAGGAGAGTCCTAGCGGATGCGCTTAATATGGCAAGCTACCTGGTGAATAGATCCCCATCAACTGCTAGTGGATATCGGATTCCCGAAAAAGTGTGATCAGATAATGTTGCTAGTTATTCTATTTTTAGAATGTTTGGTTGCCCGTGTTATTTTCGAGCGAGTTATGGTAAGCTCGATGGGAGGCCAAGGTGCATATTCCATGGCTATGCACAAAGTGAGTGGGGTTATCAATTGTGGTGCCCGAATAAAAATTCACCTGTTGATAGCAGTGAAGTTACCTTTGACGAGTCTCCAGTACTTCTGGCGAGGAGTGTTTGTGGCAGTGTTAATACGGATCTGGACGGTGTTCAGCTCAAGGTGGAGCTGCAACCAGAATTTCCTGAGGTAGCAGGTATTAGCGAAATAATCAACACAGATGATGGTTGTAGCAAGGTGGAGCCTGTAGAGTCGACAGTTGTTGTAGCTACTGGATTTGACAAGGTGCGTGTTCGACCTTCTATCAGATATGGATGCAAAGACGGTTTTGCTTTATCTATGATTCAGAAGGTTATGTCGAAAAATCTTTATAGAGTAGCTAACTGTGCAAGTAGAGTTGGCGTCTTGATGAGGTTCACGACTATGATCAAGTCGCTTGAACTTGGAAGCACTCTGTAGCGATTGAGCCCATTGAGGCTATGGGAGAGTAGCAACAAGGTTTCCACTAGGGGTGAGCGGTTCCAGGTTCTTTACAGGTTCCACCTGAAACCTACCCTCGGGTACAGGTTCCTCATTTTTTGGAACTAGAACCTACCCTCGAGTACAGGTTTCTCATTTTTTGGAATCTAGAACCTATCCATCGAAACCTGGAACCTAGAACCTACCCTGTCACAGGTTCTAGGGTCGGTTCCAAGGTCAAATAGGTTCTTCCTTTCTTTTTTTTTGGATTTCATTTTTAGTTAAATAAAACGAAAATGAACACAATAATACCGAACAAGCTTATTATTCACCAAAGAGAATACAAAAGACTAGTTTTCATAGAATTACGGTTCAAATAAATACAATTAAAACGAGAAGTCACTGCGTGAATCGATGCGCAATAGAATTCACGAGGGATTAGCATGTCCATCAAGACAATATCCATATCCGGAACCACAAACAAAATGGAAAGCGAGATAAAGGAAAGAAAGATGAGCTTTTAGTCCTCAAACATTCATGAAAATTTGTTCCAAATTATGACCACCTAAAATCAAAAGAAACAACAATCATAGTTAATAAATTGATAATAGTTTTAAACTTAAAATTGAAGTGTCGCGTATCAATTATTTACAACTGCAACTACAATTTTTTCTTTTCTCCTTCCACCATCCATTATCACCATAGTTCTAACTATGCAATCATCAAGCTTAAGATATTTTTTGAAAGAGTGAATAATGAAAACAATCGACCTCACTAAAGAACAAAAAACATAACAAGTTAAGGTCTAAACATTCGCAATGAGGATGCGAATGGTGGGTACTCCAAAACCACAATAAATTAAAGGTCTAAACAAATCTTAGAAAATGTTCTACACGACAAGTTAAGCAAAGCAATGAGTATGTGGACTGAGATGAGAATTTGAGAGCTAAAAAGTGAGAAGTGAGGAGCAGTAAGAAAATTAGGGATTTTAGATTTAGATTTCCCGGTTCTATTTCCGGTTCTCGGTTCCGATTCCGGTTCTGGTTCTTATGGGACCCGGGAACCAAATCGGAACCAACGGCTCCTAAAAAATTGGAATCTGGAATTAGAACCTCACTCTATAGAATCGAAAACCGAACCGGACCCAGCGGTCCGGTTCTACTATGGATCCGTGCTCACCCCTAATTTCCACTGAAGCGATTATGACTTGACTCAAATGTCGAGCCAAAATGAAGATTGTTGAAATGTATCTCGAGTTTGAGCTCGTTTAACAAATATCAAAAATTAAAGCGTGTGAGTTTTACTAGAGAAAATTAAGTCCATGTTGGACTTTTATGATCGTCTACCATTTTCTTAAGCACGCGGGCCATGCTTCCCATATCAAATGCTCTGCATGTGAAAGGAAGAAAGAAGACCAAGACAAAGAAAACATTGGAGTTGGTGTGTGTGAAGAAAGTGCAATGGGCATTCACTCCATGGGTCAAAGAAAGAGGACATGTACGTCCATTTTTTCTCTCCATCATTAATGCTTGCACATGGCCATGTGCATGCATGCCGTGAAAATGGAGGGCGCCGTTGCTGCTTTCATTTAGTGCAAATAGGAGCCCTTTCTTTTGTTTTATTCGTCTGACTCTTAATTGGTGTTGAGTTCTCTGAGAGTGGAAGGAGAATAGCATGCGAGTGGGACTTCTTCGCATAGAGAAAGAAAGAGAAAATGAAGTGCGATGGTGACCATTGAATGGTCATGGCCATTGAATGATGTAGACCATCTCCTGTGAATTATATAAGAGAGAGACGTCCAACGAAGGTGTGCGTCAAGTTCCATCCGGTGGCCGGGAGAAGAGAGAGTCCTTCTCGTGAGGGATTTTCTTATGGTAATTACACTCGAGTAATTTAGCCAGTCAAATTCTTATGAGTAGAATTTATATAATTCCTTCAAAACAGAGGAAAATGTTTTTCGCTTTTTTAGAAAGGGGAAAATATTTTTCATATCTTCTTTCACCCACTTTCTTTCACCAAACACATTTTACTTTTATTTTTATTTTTCCTTTTCCTTTTTTAGAAACTAATTTTAATTTTCTTTTCTTTTCTTTTTTTCCCTTTTCTTTCTTTTTCATTTTCTTCTTCCTTGGCCAATCACTGACCATGACAATGGCTGGCGATCGGCTACAAGCAAGGCGAGGCGAGGCCGAGCATCACTAGATCTAGCAAGGCTCGAGCTCGCCGGCCTAGGGCAAGCGAGGTCGAGCCTCGCCTGTACGGCCGGCGAACAGCAGAGGAAGAAAGAAGAAAGAAAAAAGAAAAGAAAAGAAATATTAAAAATTTCAAATTTTCAAAATAATTAAAATTTTGATTTTTTTAAATAAAATAAAAAAATTATTAATAGGAGTGCAATGAAGATTTTCCATACCGAACGACGGAAAATATTTCCCGGTTCATTTTCAGGACTCAGCCAAACACCGGAAAATATTGTCATTTTCCTGGAGAATGACTTTCCCGAAAACATTTTTAAAAAACGTCACTTTTTTTTGCGAAACGAACAGAACCTAAAAAAATTTTCAATTTTCAAAGTATCGTTTATGTACGTATATTACGAGATTTATTGGTATAATGAAAAATATAACATCCTTTACTCTATTATTCAAAGAGTGCTTCAAAAACACTCTTCGAAAAAATTCTTATTAACGGTCGATGAACTACAAAAAATTAATAAACGGCATGGACCATTAAAAAAGTCGTTATTTCTTGCTTTTGGTTTTGAACTCACACATATTTTTTTTTTCTAATCAAGCCCTTCAATTATTAATTTGTTTAATTAAGTCATTGAACTTGTATAACTTTTCCAATCAAGTCAAGGCCATCAAAATTCTGACCTAAAGAGCTCGAAGAACGCGACGCCGTGTTGAGAAATCTTGTTGCTCGAGGTTTGGTCTTGATCATCGCCATTGACTCCCGGTTCGATATCATAATTGAAACTTCGTTTTTTTAATATACTTGTGATTGGTCTTATTTTTATCTAGGAGATATTATTCATTTAACTATATTTTGTTTATCATGAGCCTGTTTTTTTTTTTTTTTTTGGGTGTTCCACTATTTGGGGACATTGACATTTAGCATGGACAAATATACGCATCCAAAGGCCCACCGGTGGATGAAGTGGTTGGCCATTAGCCATTATGCACGTGCATCTCGAGCGCCAATTTCGTGCGCATCGCACAATTTCATGTGAATCATGTGGTAATGCTATATGATAGTAAGGAAACTATCTTATCGTTTTGGTGTGAATTAGCATATCATTATCATTTGATAAATCACTGGTCTTAAGAGATTGGATTCCGTATCTTAAATCGAGACGTTTGAATCGAACAAAGGAGTGATCGCGAGCTAAACAAATTGGTTATAGCGATTTCGATATGTCCATAATTTTGTTTCGTCGTATCAGTCGTATATCTTAAACATCGGAGGTTCTATTCAAAGCAACTATCCTACCAAAGTAACATCAATCAACCAAAAAGCAAAAGGATAGGATTGTCGCATCCAAAAGGAGTTAGCACAACTAGCAGCACATTACCAGATACTTCATTAACAAGTTGTATACACGGCGTTAAGTTAGCTTATTCACAGAACTAGCCCTCAAACAGCAGTTTTCATCCCAAAAAAAAAACATTACATGCTTCGCCACTTCCCCCCACCGCGAGACGGCTCCTATGTACAAAAAACCAACGTCTCGCGCGATACGATCACCCGGACGTTCACCGGGAATCTCCCGCTAGTTGCTTGATTGCGCTGTACAACTTCCGCCGCGGCCCGACGGCGTGCACGCCCATTTCTTTGAGGTCTTGGAGAGTGAGAAGGGGCAACGCTTGCTCGTCCACCTCGTGCATTTCGAACATGTCGGCATACTTACCAAGCCCCAATTCCTCCAACCATTCCCGCACGCTACTTGAGTCATCTCGTCCGACTCCAGCATCGTCCACTCCATGCCCATGACCGGCACTGGGGGAGACATTCCCATCCTCGGTTCCTTCTGTCATTGATGTTTCGCGACCCGACAGATCATTCGATTCGACGTCGGGAGCAAAGCTTTTCGCGAATCCTGCCGAAACCTTCCCATCTAATTCGTCGGCAACTTCAGGACCACATGTAAAACCCCAACCACTCGCGAAAACCCTGTTGCTCCCCGCCGCGCTCCGGCACCGGCGCTTCATCACCCGGCACTTGCGAGTGACGGTACCGAAATTCAGCTCGCATTTGGTCATCCCCATTTCCCCCAAACTCTCTGCTTCGGAAGCCCGGTTCTCGCCTTCTCTGCACTGCAGAGGATCGACCAAAACTCCCGGCGAAACGGCACGGTCCAAATCCAAAGACTCCGGCCGTGTCTCTTCCGAAACCGGCCTCTTTTCGGGCTCATCGAGTCTCGAGAAACCGCGGTTCCTTCTCTTGCGAATCGAACCTGCCTCGCATCTGTGAGAGAACACACATGCAAAGGCAGCAGGGAAATCTCCCACCTCGCCTAATCTAACATTCGGGCGTCTCTCTCTTTTCGAATCCATGCGCAAAATCAACATGCTTCGCCGAGAACACGCGATGATTCAGAACCTGAACAAGAACCTACGATCAACCAAAAACCAACAAGCCACGCTCATAACCATGACGAAATACAGAACAGACCCAGAATCAGGAGCAACCAAAACAACCACCCACACGACTAGCCACCACAGGCAGAATCCATCCAACCAAACAAATTCGCGGACAGTTTTACATGCAGCAAATGCAAGTGCAGAGCCATGTAAGCAGAGGTCGGATACACAAACCTCGGAGACATCAGCAGACAACCGCACATCAATCTTGAATCTTTCGCATGCTTCCCCGAACTGGGTTCTTTCGCAAGACTTCTCTCCTCCCTAGGGGACGACCGCCCACCGCAAGGACAAACTGGCTTGACTTCTCCCTGCTGGGTCGGTCTTCGCCTTCCTTTTCGCTTTTTTTTTATGAAGGACAGCGAGGGGGGCCCCAAGATGGATTTCCCTCAGATTTTGCTATTCGTCTTTGGGGCAACGAATTCCTTCTCCGCTGTCGGGATCAAGATGAGGACGGAGACGGGTGGTGGCACTGCTACTGCTTCTTGGAAAGCAAAAGGGAGAAGAAGGTGTGCTTGGTCCCCCCCCCCAACCCTCTTTTGATTATTCCTGGGGTGTCGCCGGATGGAGAGCTCCGAGCCGAGGAATCATCGGCTGCTGTCCAGCACACAGAGTGGCCCAAGAAAGACAGACGACGACGAAGGAGGATAAGACCGAAACGTGGCGCGTTGACTAGTGTGGGAGCAACGAAAGAGTACCACGGTTTCTGAAGCTCTTCTTCGACACGTGAGGTGTCAATTCCCGTTTACGAGACAGTGGGCTGAGGAGGACAAGAAGGGTTGGGTTCAATGTCCCCTTCGGATAATTAATTGATTCGCGAAAAAATAAATAAATTCGAAAAAAAATATTTCCAAAAGTAAACATTTATATTTCTTAATACATAACAATTTAGTTCCAGAAATAGATATGTACTTCTACCTCCTATACGAGTTTCTAAATAGAGATACGCGTTCAATAACGACACGAAATTTCACTTCCCGAGACAGAAATTCGTTTGATAATGACACAACGCTCTTTTCCATTCATCGACGGGCGACAGCAACCGGCGAGGGGTGGCGGTAGCTGCCAGGCAGTGGCGGGCAGTCGGAGGCGAGAGCGAGTAATGTTATTTCTTTTTTTGTTCCAAAAATAGAAAAGTAGAACATTTTCACTTCTAGTTTCTGATTTTTTTTTTGTCGAACTTCTAGTTTTTGTTCCCGTTTCACTGGAATTGCTCCCACGACGAAATATAATTCACCGAACGTCGTTCTTCGGCTTTTTGTGAGAGAAGACCGGATTCTGTGGCGACTGCGAACAGGAAATATCCAGGCAAACAAGAAATAATTGCGAACTTTTACTTCGAACCGAACTGTACGTACAAATCGTGCCGGAATTTAATCGACGACAAAGCTTGAAAATACAGCCACATACGTACACAAAGATGTAACACCGGAATTTAATTAGCGACGCAACACCCAGGATAGAGATACACGCCGGAATTTAATCGACGACGCAAATCGAAAGGAAAGCTACAGCTAAGGAAAGATAAAATGCGATACAAGAAAGTAAAGATAATTGAAAGATAACATGCTATTTGATTTGTCGGGAGGCTCTCTAGTAGATGGCCGGTGATATTTATAATGGTCGTGTGATAACTGCTCCTTAGCGATTTCCAATAGTTGTGCCCATATTCTTTCATTCCGAAAATCTTATCTTCATGTTCATGTAATGCTTCCTACTTTCATGATAACTATCTCACGATCTTGTCTACAAGTGGTAACTCCCTTATGATCATGCTTCTAAGTAACTGTTCCTTCAAAATATACATGCATGCTCCTTAGCGGTTTTTCAACGGTTGCATTGAGTCCACTACCTTGACGGTTGCTTCGACTCCACTACGTTGACGGTTACTTCTTCGACAGTTGTATCCGAAATTGTCGACTCCACTTTTAGTCGATTCGTTCAAGTTGGCTATCCTTGACTGAAGTTCCTATCCTATTTCGGCATTCTGATCAATCACAACTATCCACTTCCTTCCAAAATAAACGACTATACAGTATTTTTATGAGAAAACTCAAACATAAAAGTTGTAAATCCATGAGTCTTCGTTCTTTTGGCTTTGGAATCAAGTCAATCCAATATGTATTGATAAAGCCATGACCATTTTCTCAAACTGGCGTAGAACTGAAATTTTTGCTCTTTTTCCGAATCTTGTCGATAATAACAAAAAATGGGTCATTTTTTGGTGTAAACATATACACACGACACATGCCTCTTACATGTGTCCCTTATATTAGCAAGTTGATGATATTTGCTTCCACGATGCCTCTTGCCTCTACCATGTGTCCCTTGATGATCTTTGGTACAAACACTCATCGACTACGACTGAACCATCATCGATGCACTAAATGGATATCACTTTCTACAATCGTCGACGACGGGACGTGTAGTTCATGCCTTTGTCATGTATTTCCCGTGTCGACAAGTTGGCCATTTTTTGGTGTAAACAATTCCAAACCTATTTTCGACTAAAAATTTGTTCAAGAAATAGAAAAATTAAATTGCGTTACCAAACGAATTTATGTTCCAAATCGGAAATATAAAAATAGAAAAACAGATAAACGGAATTGTTAGCATCGAAAAAGTAAATAAATTGAAAAAAAATCCAAAAGTAATCATTTATATTTCTTAAGATAATTAGTTAATGTAAATATTTCTATTATTAATAACAACTTATGTCTAACTATTTCGTGACAATGAGTATATTTTTTGTTCATTTTTTTTCTAATCGATACAAACGATCAATTTTAGGAAAATATTTTTCAAACCATTCATTTTTCGTAAACAGATGAATCTCCGATAGTATGATATGGCGTTGATTTTTCAAGGTGCAAAATATGGGCATTAGGTTAGGCAAACATTAAAAATAAAGCAATAAATTGAAAAAAAAAAAGTTAAAATCATTGAAAATTCATTCAATAAGCCACGCCACCATTCACTATTCGCACCCTATTTACAATTTTTTTTGTTACCCTATTTACTTAAATATAGATCTAATTCCCTAAAAAACCCTCAACTTTAGGTTAAGTCCCAAATTTGCCCCGAACTTGTTTTTGTCTCGGAAAAAACCCCAAACTTTAAGTCCAGTCCCAAATCTGCCCCAAATTTTGTTTTATGTAAAAAAAAATCAACAAAATTCAAATTTTTTTCAAAAATATACCCCGTGATCCAATCCCAACTTGACGTGGCACTTTCACATCGATAACAAATTCTCATCAACAAAGTAATGGGACTTTTTTTTAGATAAAGAAAAGTTCAGAGTAAATTTGGACTGAACCTAAAAATTATTTTTTTTTTAAATTAAAAAAAGTTTTTTTGGGTGGATTTGTTATCGTCCCTAACTTTCATATCCTAAAATGGTTTTATTTTGGAGAATTTCAATAATTTTTATTGGGTTTGATTTGTTATCGAAGTGGAAATACGACATCGGTCTGTACCTATCGCCCCATTACTTTGCTGATGTGGATTTGTTATAAATGTGAAAATGCCGTGTCAAGTTGGAACTGGATCACAGGGTATATTTTTGAAAATAAATTAAAATTTGCTGATTTTTTATACAAAACAAAATTCATGGCAGATTTGGGATTTGACTTAAAGTTTGGAATTTTTTCTTAGATAAAAAAAAGTTTGGGACAAATTTGGTACTGGATCTAAAATTTGGGGTTTTTTTTAGACAAAAAAAAAGTTCGGGATAGATTTGGAACTCGATCTAAAGTTGGGAGTTTTTTAGTGAATTCACCCCTTAAATATATATATAGAATTAGGAAAATTTTCAATTAGTGGGCCTTCGTGGGTTAAGAAGCCCAATATATAAAAAAAGTTTAGGACTGGACCTAAAGTTTGGGGTTTTTTTTAGACAAAAAAAAATTTCAGGACAGATTTGGAACTCGATATAAAGTTGGGGGTTTTTTAGTGAATTCACCCGTTAAATATATATATAGAATTAGGAAAATTTTCAATTAGTGGGCCTTCATGGGCTTAAGAAGCCCAATACAAGACTCAAACATTGTCGCCAATACAGGCTGTGATTCTCTCGACGAAGCCCAAACTGGTCGTGAGCGTTTGAACCCGAAAATAAATTAGCAAAAGCTTCCGATGTCCGCAAGATTATCATAATTGAGTTTCCCTCTAAATCCGTCGGAGATCAAGATAATTAAAATAGTCAAGGAAACACTTTTTTTGATATTATTAAAACGAAGCTGCTCGATTTTTTCTTAATTCAGAAAATTAACATCGATTCTTACCGGACGTAAGCAAATTCTAATTGTTAAAGGACAAATTAAAAATTTTGAAGGAGCTGACATTACCTACATCGACCTAAAATTATGGATGAGCAGAACCATTTTTGTGATTATGGAAAACGCAAATTTTCAGCTTTGATGAGAATAGACAATGTTGATTTTTTTTTTAAGTAACCGACCTTATCTTTAACCATCTAAATAGTGCTTTTAGGTGAAATTTGTTTTTTTTGCTTTTAAAAAAATTATTATTTATGTAAACGCAATTAAACGGTCCCTAAATGATGGAGCAAATGAGTGGTGATTTATAAGGAAAATTCCAAATAAGAGCCTTAAGTACCCTCATTTCTCAAATAATGGCATATGTCGAATAAGAACCTAAAGTGAGTATGTCAGTCTCAAATAAGAGCATAAAGTAACCATGGCAATTTCAAATAAGCACCTGACCTCACCAGTCGCCGGCCAGCTAAATATTCCGGCCAACCCTCTCTCGGCATCGCCGGGCAAAGAAGAAAGAAAAAACCAGAAAAAGGCAAAAGAAAAGAAGGAAGTTGGAAAAAATTCAAAAAAAAAAGTTAAAGGACAAAAATGCCCTTAACCATATAGAAAGTCGAGTCCTTATTTGAAACAAACATAGCCATTTTAGGCCCTTATTTGAAACAAAATTCACTTCAGACCCTTATTTGAGAAAATAAGAGCACTTTCATACCCTAATTTGAAACAAGGCATGCGCAATTCATGCCCTTATTTGAAAATTTCCCTTTAAATTAGTGGGCTCATTCAAGCACCCGATAAAAACCCGCCACGTCATATAGTGTGTGAAGTGGGCTTGTTTGATAACTCAATTAAGTGTTAAAAATTAAAAATTCAGCATTTAACGAGATTAATTCCACTTAATCTAGTTTGTAAGGGAGAGGTTATATAACTTGTTCAATAGGAAATAATTAATGGTATTAAGAATCTCAACGAATATAATAGAAAATTAGTAATAATGGTCTATAGTCTATGTTCGGTAAGAGATTCATAATATTCAGCTATCAATTATTAATTATCACCAAACAACTTTATAAATCTTTTTTCAAAACTTAAAGTCTGACACTCAAATTTTCATAACCTAATTGTCAATTTCACTAAATGAGCGCTCCCTAAGATTATAGAAAAAAATCTCTAAAAGGAGTTATCACTACTTTGCTTTTATCGCGGGGCGCAGGGATGCGGTTAAGAGATTCTTTCTATGCCGGCGAGGTCTTTCCTTAGGAAGTCAAAGTTCCCTGCATTTAGTTAATTAAATCGAAATATTAGGGCGAGAACTACATTGAGATTGAACTCGCCACAGATAAATAAATAGATAGAGCCCT